ACCAAATATGTGAGAGAAAAAAACCTAAGAGAGTCAGGATTTATTTTGACTCGTGGTTTTTGAGGGGAAGGCATGGTGAGGCACAGCAATTTCACAACATGGCATCCAGGAAAGAGAGAGAGAAATAATGCTCTTCTGTAACCTTTCTCCTTTTCTCTCCAGCCTACAGGATGGCACCGCCCACATTCACAGCAGCTTGTCTCTGCTTGATCCTCCCTGGAAAGTCCTCACAGGCATACCCAAAGATGCACCTTAGGAGTTTCTGGGTTGTTTCATAATCTCATCAAGTTGATAATCAAGAGTAACCATCAGAGATGTCTTCCCACCAAGCTTGACCATGTAGGCATTTCTCTATACAGTTTTACTCTGGAACAGAGCAGTTTGCATTAATTGAATCCAAATTTCTGAGCTTTTTATCAGTCTTGGGGATACACCCCCTCCTCCAAGGTCAGCCACTTTCCCCTTGGTCCTCCTTGCTTCTTCCACTCCTCCAGCATTTTTGCCCCCTCCAGGACTATCACTCATAATCTTTCCTCAAAGGATATATAAGAAATACTAGGTTCCCTTTTCCCAGTGTAGAAGTGGAGAAAAGACAGGATAAAACTAGTCTGAGGGGCAGTAATTATTTTCCTAAGGGAATCTTTTTCAATAAGCATTTTGTTTTATGTATAAATATTATTAACAACTTCTTTGAATATTTAGATAAATTTTCACAATGTGTCCTTATAGAAATGGTATAGCATGCAGAGCTCTCCGTCCCTACCTTCTGTTGTCATTTTAGTAGTCTAGGGAAGGTACTAAGGACAAAGTCTGGCAATATCCAGAGGATCACAGAACACTAATATTTACAGGAGAAGGGAAATCTTGCAGGTCGTCCATTTTATACTTACTGCTTGATCTTGAATGAGAGCTAACAGAAGTGAGCTTACAGGCTTATAGGACCCAGGGATGAATATCCAGTGACTACAGCCTGTGCTACCAGCTCCAAGGGAATGCAAATCCCCCTGAAAGTCGTAAGTAACAGCAGTGAGTATTTATCTTCAAATGTGGCAACACACTTTCTCATTAATTGGATTCTTTTCTTCAGAAGAGAAACAAGCAATAGAGTTCACATAACTTAAAGTTTGGTTTTCAATTTGTGTGAATGTAAAATAGTGAGCCTCTGCTGAAGTTGATGTTGATAGGAGATGCTATCAATACCATCATAAAGACTGCCACACCAAATCCAGTATTCTATGTGACAAGTTCCACAGACCAAGCGATGACTTCAAATCAAGGAGGTCCCCTGGAAACGTTTGTGGACCTCTCAGCTGGTGAAAAATACTGGGCTGTGATTCTCATGGCAATTTCTGTTTGTTATTCTATTACTTTTTTCACATTAATGAAATGTTCCTAAAAGCCTATACTGACATTTCAAACAAAAGAAATAGATAAGAAACCATCCCCTGAGATGGGGTCACTAGCCATGACCTCATCTCAGGAAAAGCCAGTGTTTTCCAAATCATTCATGTCCTTCACATAAGTACAAATAGTAAAAACTTTCCCAACAATAAAATTCCATATGGCTGTACATGTGTCATATGTACAGAGAGTGGGCTTAAGTGTCTGGTAAAGAAAGCTTTTAATAAGAAAGGGTTAAAATAGCTCAATATTTCAAATAATCACAAGAACTGGGTAATAGATGTTAAACAATAACTGACCATAAAAATACATTAATTTGATCTAAGAAATATGCGTTTAGCCTTGGATGATCCTATGTTAATCAAGGGTGGGCCTATGTTTTGATTAACCAAGGACAATTTTGTGTTTTGATTAACCCTGGATGATTCTATGTTTTGGATTTCTGTGTCACTGTGCCAAGTAACAATAAAGTCATATGTTTGGGTTTGTTTAACAAAAACATCCCCTGAGAAAATATCTCTATAAAAAAGCCTTGTTTGAGAACTTCAAAATACACTCAGATTCAAACTGCCTCTGTGTTTGTTTCTGTTTGTCACCACGGAATCCTTACCCACCTATTCTTCGAGGACCCTTATCCCAGGAACTCCCATACCCGGCTGGGTTGGCTCCTGGCAAAAGACCATAAGCCAGACCAAGCATCTCGAGATTCTGTCTTTAAAAGATAAATGAAAGAAAATGTACAGAGATACTTAACCTTGAAATTTCTCTGACAAAAAATGAGAAGTAATTTGTATTGAAGGATTGTAATATATCTTTTATTGACATCTTAGAAACGTCTAAATAGTTTCCTTGCATGGACTTGGATACATGTTTGCACACATCCTCTGCTTGAGACTAGGACAGAGCACTGCAGAGAACCAAGTTAGGCAGCACGGGCTACACCTGAAGCACCAACACACACAAAGCATGTACACAGTACCATTTACGAACAGAATTCTAAGAGAATTGACAGTTTAAAAAAAAACAAAGGCTTTGGAATGTCTAGAAATTAATCCAAAGTTCTAGACTTTAAACTTCAGGCTCAGTTTCTAAATTACATTTAGAAACAATCTAGACATTTAAGTGGATAGATCATTAAAAACATAGTTTGAAGTTAACTTGTAGTGTGACTAGATTTCCAAAGGGAAATGAAACCCCTGACTAGAAAGCATGTATGAATCTAAAACATTTTTTGAAAAGCATTTCTGTGAAGTTCATTAACATGGACAACAATACTTATTTGGGCATGGCCAGTGGTGCAGTAATTTGACCATTACACTAGCTTAGGACAGTCTAACTTGACTAATACATCGCCAGGAACTAATGAGATAAGATGCTGTCCTGATGGCTACCTAGAGAAAGGCAGATGGAAAGGACTGGCTGACACCAGCATGAAAATATCTGATCTTATGTTTTTGTGCAATGGTTTGACTACTCTGAATGAGCAATTTATCATTTGGTACTTCAGTTAAGCTAACTATTATGAATGTACCACAGTTACTACTTAGGATAAATTAGGCTTCCAAATCTTAACTAAAGGCCTAGGAAATTTTCTTCTACATTGTCATCTACTGAGTCGTGCCAGAGGTGTTTCTGTTCATTCCACAACGCCCAGGACACAGCCCTCATAACAGTTACCAGCCCCGAGTGTAAAAAGTGCTGAGATCCAGTAAGCTATTACCTTGAAGGAACCATTAAAAAAAATAAATGTTTTGTTTTGTTTATAAATATTACTGACAACTGTTTTGGAATATAAATGTAGACAAATTTCTATCATATGATCTTATAGAAATGGTGTAAGATTAGAGCTTTTGTGGCAATTGTTTTATGTGACAAATGTGTTTTTAGGCGTTGATATTTATAGAACCACTAAGGGTCTCATAGAGACATTCGAATCTTTTAGCTAGACTTGACTCTGCTTTGTATAGGGCATCATTTACTGCCTGATATTTTTTCAGCTTCCAGGATCTTAAGAAGTAACTAAAGAGTAGCTACCTGTCAACTAATGATCAGTACCCATGCCCCACGCAAAATCTGATGCTTCTATCTACTGCACGGTTTCATCCTTAGCACAGCTTTATAGACATTGTGAATCCCATTGCACAGCTGATGGAAGAGAGACTTAAAGTTGCATCACTGCTTTCCTAAAATCAAACATTTGAAAACCCTAATCTGTCAGACCTGGAGCCTTGATTGTTCCTCTGCATGATTCCATCTGTGGGGACACCTGCATTTCTTAACTACTGAACAAATGCACCTCAGCCTACATAAGAGGAAAAATAAATGGAGGAAAACGAGGGCTCTATCTCCTCATTTACAGTGTAGCTACCTTATGCCAAATGTGCAACATCTCTTCCTCTGTGGGTTTTCTCATACCTTGGAACAATTGTAGAAGTGATTGATATAGATCCTCCATCACCTAGATAATTCAGGTAAAGGAGAAGCCAGATTGCCCTTAAATTACTTTCACCCCCACTAAATGTTCAGGCTTTAAAAAGTGAACTGGTTCCCGCTGCTTCCATCTGGAGGCCACCCACTGTGCTAGTTAATCTGTATATACGCTATGGTCAGTTATCATTATGCTCTCCATAAATCTCCCCAACTGTCTTAAAGATAATCAGGAGGCATTTGTAAAGGTCTGTTGGGTCAATTACATCACCTTTGAGTCCAACTTAGTTAATTATGTTTTTTTTTTTTTAAAAAAAAAGAGGGTGCTGCAAGCCATTTCAACATGGACCTGCATGGTGTCTCTGGTTTCATTTCTGGAGGAAAGCTCATCTCTGAATGACTACTTACTGGAGCACATCATTGCAGACCCATATAGTTGTGATACTTGGGGATTTACAGCACATCCAAATTAGCATGGGAACAAAACACATTAGTAGGGCATCTAAATGCCCCCTACCATTTTTAACAATGGTCACAGCACAGCAAGAGATGATCCCCACATGTCAAAACCTCTTGTATGAGGGAACACTGCTTCTCCTTCACCGTGTAGAACTTAGGCACTCAGATACAGTAGTTAAGGGGTGTTCTTGAGCTTCTCCACATTCCAGAAAGATATGCAAGCTTTATTTTCTTTTCAGGCACTTTATAGACTACAAGTGACATACTCTGAATGCAATCTCATGTTTTAAATTCATGCTCTCTGCTTTCCTGGCAGAAAATACCAACCATTACACTTGCGTAGTTACCTTCCATCTACGAAGGTGTGTTTCCTTTGGAGACTTTATTTCTTCCTGTACCTTCATCTCCACAACCCAATTATCCTGAGCTCTGTGTGTGTGTGTGTGTGTGTGTGTGTGTGTGTTTGTGTGTGTATGTGTGTGTGAAACAGCAACAACAGCAGCAGCAACACCCAGGGGTTATCTCAGAAGTGGCACTCTGAAATAACGCTTGGGTTTGCCTCAGAAGTGAAGAAGCTACACCTATCATCGTGTTTTCTGATGTTGCCACACACCATGATTGGGATGAAGAGGGTCTGTGTGACTGTGTTGTTGTAGATTTGGTTTCTTCCTTATTCTATAGGTTAGGAGTGGGGAAACTGTTTCTAAGGGGTTCTAGGTCATGATTTCTTCAAAGTCAGAGAGCTGCTTCATCTGTTCAATCTGCATAGAATGCCTTCGAAGGAGTTTCTTTTTACTTCTCAAGTCAACTCTCTTTGGTGAATTTGGAGCAATGGGAACCATAGATTTTAAGCCACCAGCAAGTGGGGCAGCTGGTTTGCTACTGGCTCTGATGTCTGGGATAGGTGGGTTTGAATTCACATTTAAAGGGGGAAGAAAGCCAGGCCTTGTGTGAGCAATGCGGTCTAGTAAGAGAGTTCCCGAACCTCTTCTTTCTAGAAGATGAGGGGGCCTGCGGCGCACTGAGCTGGGAGACGTGCTGGGTACAGCATCCAGGCACTCCCGAGAGCCATGGAAAAGGGACAAGTGGGAGCTGTTGAGCTTCTTTCTATCTAAAGGTCCTTTGGCAGACTCAAGGGACATAGTGTTGGGTGGGTCAGCCCCTGGCTGTACATCTAGGTCATAGAGATCATTTTCCAGCAGCTTGAGAGATGCTGGATCTTTCAGAGCTGATGGTCCTGGTGGACACATCCCAGCCTTCTCCTGGTCAACAGGAAGTGTTGTTCCTCTCCTGGCCAGGCGTGGGTGGGGGGCCTGGCCTTTCTCATAAGCTGCTTTCCAGGTAGCTGGTGCTGAAGCTGGAACCTTCAGAACTTGTTCCTGGACTGTGGGGAAGAGTGTGCAGTCTTTACTGTCAATGCTGTTGGCTCTGGAGAGGGGACCCCTTTTAGGGAAAGAGATGTCATTGATGCTCCTGACGATCTCATTATCTGTGCTTGTGCCATGGGTTTCATCCTGGCGTGTGGAGGCTGCCAACACAGAGGGAGCAATCAAGCCCCAGGGTTCAGATTGGAGCCTCTTCAGTTGGGGCAAACGGGCCCTTTTAAGGCTAGACACTTTCCTGGTGGGTGATCCAGGCTCATTAAGGGCCTTGGAAGTACTACAGCCACTTTGGTGTCCTGATTGGAGGATGAAGAAATCATCATCCTTCTCACTGGGTGGAGAATCCAGACTAGGAGCCTTCAGTTCAATGTCAGAAGGAGATGCACACAGTGGTGGTGACTGTCTATCTTCCACTTTGGGTGATGGAGGGACATTGAGATACTGCTTGGTGGTTTTTGTGCCTGAAGATGATTTGTCTGTTGTTATAATAATCACTTCCTTACCTTTGGCCTTGCAGGCATCAAGGAGATGCTTCAGTGCATCCTTGTCATCTGCATTTATTGCATAAACCAGAGCTGAAGCCCCAGTGCGATCCTCAAGACTAGGGTCTGCTCCATTCTCCAGCAGTAAGGACACGACTTCTCCCCCAGCTCTTCTGATGCAAGCATGGATTAGCGCAGTCTTGCCAGACTTATCCTGGATATTGGGGTCTGCCCTATTGTCCAACAGATACTTCACCATCTTAGACTTGCTAATGCTTTGCTGGTCCACATGTTTAGTAATGCATGCTACCATGAGAGCTGTTTCACCTTTGTCATTGCTTTCATTGATATAAGCTCCCCCTTCCAAGAGGAGTCTGGTTAGCCGGAGCCTCCCTAACCATACAGCCTTTAAGAGGGAGTTTCCATCAGTCCTCAACTCAGTGTCATCATCCATCATGGTGGCTACAACTTAGGACCTCTGAGCCACAGGGGCAATCAGACCTAGCAAGGGAAAAAGAAGGGAAAACATTATATATTACATATTATATTGCTATTCTATGAACCATAATTGTTTATTTCAAAGTCTAGGTACAATCATGTCCCAGCCTGATCCCAAGATGTGTTAACTGAACTAAGATTTCTAAAGCCTATGAGTGAGTTTATTCATCTATAATGAGGATGGAAATAGTAGTGACCTACTTCCTAGGGTTATTCTAAAGATTTCTTCAGATAGTGAATATGAAACACCTGGCTAAGGGCTGTAGAGTTGGTTCAGTGGCTAAGAACATTTGTTATTCTTGCAGAAGGCCTGGGTTTGAGTCCAGGAATCCACATGGTGGCTCAGATTAATGTATATCTCCAGTTCAAGGGGACCCAATACCTTCTCACCTCCATGGACAGCAGGCATACACCTGGTACATGAAGGCAAAACACTCACACACATAAAATAAAATAAATACATCTAAAAATGCACACTGCGCACACACAACACACACACACACACACACACACACACACACACACACACACACACACAAACCACCTGGCCCTATGAAAGGCAATTAGCGTAATGCAGAGCACACAGTAACTATTTTTAAATTGCAAGATATGATTGTGTTGACTGATCAGTTAACACAAATATAGAAACCTAAGTTCCTTTAGGAAATAAACATTCATAACTGTTTGTTTCCACTGTTGCATCCTCTTGGCACTTAGCAGTGATTCACACATAATGAGTAGGACACTTTACAAATAATCATTAAATGCGTTGTTATTGATGTGCATCAGAACAGCTAGCAGAAAATACATCAACATGTTGATCCTTATTCTAGATAATAGGCCTAGGGAGGTATTCATTGTTTTCTTTTTGTTGTGTTCTTAAAATGAATATGTATCACTGTGACGGTGAAGAGAAAGCAGTAATAAATATATAAAATAAAGTCAATATAACCATTCTTTTCCAGGGTCTAGTCCCCACTTTCCCATTTGCCTAATTCACAATAGCTCCCACCATGCCATGTTATATCCTTCCTTCTTGCTGAACTGATATACGACATGGAATAGAGAACAGTGTTGTATTTTTTGTTCACACATATTGTGAAACAAAGTTAAAAACCAAAGTTTCCTCCATCAAAGTTTGTCACACTCTAGTTTTCTGCCTTGTTCTCCTCATGTGAGTTGTCTAGTCCATGGACTAGGAATTTCTACACTGTGTGCTTGAGATACATTTTACAAATAGGGAGTGATGGGAAGGCTAGATGACCTGGCCAGCCTATGGGCACCAATTGCATTGACTCATGTCTGCAAGAATAGCCTCTCCACATGGACACTCTGGGTAACCATCTCTCAATGAGCTAACGGCCTATTATTTCCTCCTCACCTGATCTATAGCATTCTTTATATTTCTGTATTACTCGAGGCAATGGCTTCCCAGTTTCTGTTTTCTATAGAATTGGAAGGCAAAGTTTTCTTGGCTGAAATTGAGAGATAAATGCTCATCCTTTAAAATGTTTTACTGCATAAAAAAGAAAACCAGGGCCTGAAAGATAGTTCAGATAGCCCAAAACCCATTTTAAAAGATGGGCATAGTAAAGTACAATTGCGATCCTAGAGATATGGAGGTACCAGCAGAAGGATCTCAGGGGATTGGTGGCCAGACAGCCTAGCATAATTGCTGAAACTCAGGTCCTAGTGAGAAATCTTGTCTCAAAAAATAAAATGTGTACGGCTCCTAGGAGTAACACCCAAGGATGACCTATGGCCTCTCCACACTCATGCACGCACGCACGCATGTGTGCACACGCACGCGAGTGCACACACACACACACACACACACACACACACACACACACACACACACCATCCCTGTCACTCTCAGTGCCACACCATACCACATTAAGAGAAAGAGGTTTCATTCATCCATCTCAGTTCCTCTTGGAAGCACTCTGCTTTAAAAGTAATAGCAGCAACAGCCTGGTCTGTATCTTCTGGCTACAGCACATTTTCCTCTACTTCAGAAGAGGTAGTGAAGTACTGAAGACTCTGAGTCTAACCTACTGCAATTGTGCTTCCATGTTTCTATGAGAGTTTCTGAAAAATTGCTGTCACCTGAGGACATTGCACAACTGACATCGACAAGTCTGTATTTCTGTCTCCTTCCTCATCTCCTTTCTCTTTTAATATCCTATTGATCTTTCTTTCTCTGTGTGTATGTAGCTCTCTCTCTCTCTCTCTCTCTCTCTCTCTCTCTCTCTCTCTCTCTCTCTCCTGCCATTATAATGATCTCCTTAATGGTGTGCTACCTATGGTGACTGTGTTAAAGTTTTGCATTGTTCAATATTCAATAAACATCTTATTCTCCAAGCTCTGAAGATCCAAAGAAGAATTTCCAAGCATTAACTAAATTAAAGGGGATATTTGGTGAAAACACTTCTCTTCATTCCATCATGGAAGCCTTTCTTCCCCTGACCCTAACTCCCCTTCCAGAATCATCCCCTAAAATGTCAGCTCTTCTCATATCTTGCCTACCTTAAGATGTCAGTGTTTCTTAAATACGCCCACTTTCCCCCTCCTGGCACTCCTCTTGTTTCTAACTATAAGGACTCCCTGCTCTTCTTTAATTATTCATCATCCTCAAACATCAGCTCAAATGTTACTTCCTTTGTAATCAAGAGAAAAAAATCAATCAAGATCCAAGAGGGAAAGTTGAGTAAAATTACAATGACTCATATCCAGACTATATAAAGAACTCCTCCAAATCACTTCCTCCGAAAGAGGATACACAAATGACCCATGAGCTTTACATGCTCATCAAAGGTACTCAGTCTCATTAGTACTCAAGGAAAATCAAATCAAAGCACAAGGTAGTTAGACAGAATGACAACCCAAAGGATGCAGGAAGTCAGAAACCATCAGGAACCTGCTGGGCTATAAATAGATACCACTATACTAAATTGAAGCCTACATTTTGACCCACTGAACACATGCCTGGATAATTGTGATAAACTGTAACCATGGCTATGAAAGTTTCCTTTCCTGGTATATGTATGAGGAGCTGTCCAATAAAATGGGCAAAATAGCACCATCACTTTTAAGCAAAGCTTTCATAAACCTTACAACATCTAAGTCCCCCCGCCCTTTTGGAACCAAGATGTTTTATGAGGAAGACTAGAGTATCCCACAAGAAAGGTCAGGTGGAGCTTCAGCTAACTTCCTGGGCGTAAGTGAAACCATTTCATCCGTCTAGCCCCAGTCAGCTACCAGATGATTACAGCTGCCTGAGTGGACCTACCAATGATCTGAGAAAAGAGTTGGAGAAAGAATTCCCCTCTCTGTTTTGAATTTTTTTGGGGGGCCTTTGAAGTACAAGAAAAGGCACTCTATAAAAGACTTTAAGTTAATTAGTATGGTTTTGTCTCTTTTTATGGAAGTTAAAATTTCTCCTATTTAAAATCAAGTAAATTCTGAATAAGGTATCAGTGCTATTTGTTTATTTATTCATTTATTCATCATTGATCATAGTCAGATATGAAGATAGAGATATGTGGATATTTATGTAGATATTAAGAGATATATTGAATGCAGGTATTTACAATCTCAAAGGAAGGTAATAAGTTTTTTATGATTTGCTTGCCATGTACCAAGCAAGGTGCTGGTTAATGACAATTCCTCTATGCATTGTCACCTACTCCTTACAACAATACCATGAGATGGATAGTAATATCTGTTTCTTGAAAGGAAGTTTAAACTGGGCATCAGGGAGAGAAAGTCACTAATCTAAAACCACCTAAGTAGTAGATTATATAATTAGAATTCAAATCCAGAAGTCTCACCTCAAAGTCCACATTCTTGGCCTCTATGTGAAACAATTGTCAGTTTGTGTAGTAAGTCACAGAATTGAAGACAGACATCCAACTAAGAGAGATCGGTACCATGAGGAATTAAGGGTATAGATTAGGAAAGGATTCATAATGAACACAAAATTGGGCTAGCTCTTAAAAAAAAAAAAAAAGGATGGAAGTTTCTTGAACCAAGACTTGAAGGCATTACACGTGGGTTATAAAGAAAGGGGTAGCGTATCACATAAATTTAGGAAGCCTTGTGGTATAGGGTCAGGGGTGAAGGGGTACAGGCATTGGGGTACAGGCATTGGTGGGACAGGCAACACCTTTTAGACTGTTGTCCTAAAGGTAGATGCTAGTATGTGGAAATGTCAAATTGCAGGTAGCTGTAAATGAAAAGGTGACATAATCATTGGAGAAAAGGTAGGGATGGATTGGGAGGCTGGGAGGCCACTTAAGAGCCTTGCAGGGATGAAGAGAATTGGGGCTACTACAATACAGAGGCTGAGGGTGAGTAAAGCCGAAGAGAACTCGGAAAGACAGACCTGACCAGTGATGCATTTGATGTGTGAATTAACCAATATCTAGTTTCCTTTCATTCGAGATTTGTTTTCTACTGTGCCCCATGAAGTAAATGCTAACAACACCCAATGCTGGGAAGACAGGATACTTTACCAGGCATCTCTAAGCTTTCATTTCTTACCAGAAACAGCTGACATGCCCTCTGAATTTTGAAATCTTAGCACTTTGGCTGCTCTAAATGCCATTATTTTATTTTTAAAACCTTACCTGATGCCAAGTCAGTAAAACACTTGCCTTGTAAGCATGAGAACCTGAGTTCGAGACCCAGAATTCCTGTGAAAAACCTGGGTGTGTCAGAACACACTAGGAAAACCAGCACGGGAAAGGCAGAGACAGGAAGATCCCTGACACTCCCTGGACCTCCAGGTTAACCTAATTGTTGAGTTCCATGCCAATGAAAGATGTCTCAAAAATAAATAATATGTGATTTTTTCAAAAACTTAAAGATGAAAAATAATCAAAACATATCCCCAAAGAAAATAATTGTTTTGTGTTTCAGAACAAAAGTAAACTGAGCAGTGTCCCTGTTGTCTTC